TCTTGCACCACATCCAGCCCATCCACTCCCCAACATCTGGGGGCCCTTTTCCACCACATCCAGCCCATCTGCCCCCAAGACTAGAGGTCCTTCTTGCACCACATCCAGCCCATCCACTCCCCAACATCTGGGGGCCCTTTTCCACCACATCCAGCCCATCTGCCCCCAACTTTTGAGGTCCCTCTTGCACCACATCCAGCCCATCTGCCCCCAACGTTTGAGGTCCCTCTTGCACCACATCCAGCCCGTTTGCTCCCCCAACATTTGAGGTCCCTCTTGCACCACATCCAGCCCATTTGCTCCCCAACGTTTGAGGTCCCTCTTGCACCACATCCAGCCCATTTGCTCCCCAGGGTTTGGGGGTGACGCTGCCCACAGGGTTCCTCCTGAAGACCCACCAGCAGATGATGCCGTGGGAGGGAAGTGACCCGCGGCCACTCTTTCTCTCTGTCCTCAGGCTTCATGCAAGAGGAGATGGCACGGCGCGAGGAAGCCGAGCTGCAGAAGAGCCACCAGAAGCCGCGCAGCCCCGAGGGCTGGGGGCTGCTGCAGGCCCTGTGGTACCTGGCTTTCTACAAGCCGGTGATCACCGAAGTCCACCTCCGGAGGAAAAACATCAAGTTCATCTTCATCCGCTTCAGCGCCTGGCAGTACGCGGGCTGCGACAAGCTTTGGGCCGGGCTGGTCACCACCCTTTGCGACAGCATCCGCCACCACTTTGGGGCTCTGCCGCTCAGCCTCTACCACGTCATGGGCAGTCGGCCCCACTTTGCCTCCGGTTTCAGCCAGAAGGAGTGGATCCTCAAGAAAAACACGTGCCTCAAGCTTTGGGGGCTGCTCTTCGTGCTGAGCGCGGGCCTCAGCGTGCTCTTGGTGGCCTTGCTGGTGCCCGGCATCAAGGACAACCGTGCACTGAAGGTGATCGGCAGCACCATTGCCTCGCTGTCGGGATCCGGCTTGGTGCTGGGCGCCGTCTCCGTCATCAAGAACCTGCTCATCAGCGAGAAGAAGAAGATCGAGCGGCTGACCAACAGCGAGAAGTTCACCAGCCAGCTGGGCTTCATGAGCAAGGTGCGCAACGAGATCGAGGCGCTCATCAACTTCCTGGCCTTCATGGAGATCTTCGAGAAGCGGCGGCTCCGTGTTGTACTGGAGATCACCAGCTTGGACATCTGCTTCCCGGAGAAGGTGGCTGGGGTGCTCAACGCCATGAACACGTTGCTCTCGGACGCCAACAGCCCCTTCATCTTCATCCTGGTGGTGGACCCCAGCGTGATCGTGCCATGCCTGGAGCAGACGAGCTGCATGAAGGGCTTGGCCGACAACGGGTACCTCTACCTCAACCGCACGGTGACGTTGCCCTTCTCCATCCCGGAGATGGGCTTGAGGTCCAAGCTGCAGTGCCTGGAGGACGCGGTGCAGACGCGCGAGGACCTCATGTACCGCATCATCACCAGGAACGTGGAGAGGAACCTGCACCGGAGCAGGGCCAAGGGCGAGCCGGCGGCGCCCCGGGAGCGCAGCC